CAGACACAAATCGACTGGAAATAAGTAGTTAAACATGTTCAAGTTATATATTTGGGTGGTCTGCTTCCTTGGTGGGTGACCATCCTCCTCCCTCTTCAAATGGGAACTAGATTACTGAGTTAGTGAAAGATTATGAAGAGAGATAATAGGAAAGATTACGCTAATTGTTACTGCTTTAACCTAGAATTATCTATGTACATAGTATCGATTTATTTACACCCACAGTTTGTCCTATAGAGAGAAAACAAGGTGGATGTGCTCCAATTTAGGGATGAATTTTTAATAAAGACATCCATATTTACAAAGATGAGTCGAGCCGTGCATTGTCTTCGGCTGCTTCATTCATTCAGTAAGGAAACTCATTAACAAGGAAGCCAGACGTTGATGTCACGACGATAGTGCAAGGTTTGACGTTGACGACGAAACTTTTCAAAGCAAAATCTGCCATGTAAGCAGGGTTCGGAAAAACCCAGGGTTTTAATCAAAAAGTAACGACCCAGGGGTTTTAATGGGTTTTAATGGGTTTTTTGGGTTTTAATGGGTTTTATGGGTTTTATTGGGTTTTATTAGGTTTTACATAAGTAATACATTGAACAACAATTTTCACTACTATTGCAATCCAATTTCAATTAATATGCAAATCCTACTTGTCCATGTTAGAATTTGTATCCGTTTCGAAATAGTCCTGTTTAACTGATCATAGTTTAATACTTTATGAGAATATATATTACCTCTTTCTCGAATACTTCCTCTCATCATAATGAAATCCAAGTTTAAAAGTTTTTAAAATTTAATATTTCAATGCGATCTTAACGTGTATTATCAATTCTGGAAAAAATCGAGTACTTATGAACAATGAAAATACGTATGTATTATGATCGAGAATATAATAAGTGCTTTTTACAGACACACTTCTTTTGCTCATAATAAGGTACTTCGCTGTCCATAAGTACTCGATTTTTCCAGAGGTGATAATTAAGATCGCCTTGAAACATTTTAAAAAACTTTATAAATTAAAAAAATACTACAGTATTTTGTTTAATTTATTCGCTGAGATGAGAGGAAGTATTCGGGAAAAAAGTATTAATTATGACAGCAAAATGTAAATTAAATGTAATTAAATTATGTATGCTCACTTAAACATACCTCGTTCCGAAATTATTTTTTTTAAATATTTTTGTCACTTGAAACTTGTAATGGCACTCGCTGATTTATTCCTGGTTTTTAAAACTTACAGTATTAATCAAATAAACTGCTTAGCTGCCATGAAACAACTTCGTCTAACGTACGACAGCTGTTTTCAGCTTTTAGAATATAGTTTTAAGCTGAAACACAGTTAAAACCCATTAAAACCCGAATAAAACCCATTAAAACCCAAATAAAACCCATTTAACATGGTAAAACCCAATGGGTTTTATTCGTTAACAACCCATTAAAACCCATTAAAACCCAAAAAACCCAACCCAATAAAACCCTGGGTCGGAATACCCTGCATGTAAGTAGGCTGAGATTCGTGCTGGTATTTACATCCTGAGACATGTTTATTTCCTACATATTTTTGCTTACTCTGCAGTGCATTGAATCTACCGTGATACGAACCTAGCACAATATTGCATGAACAAAGTGATGCAGCAAAAGAGCAGCAGAGCAGTCTTGGTAATGGGAGGAGTGGTTTTCACTAATAAACATCTCAACCTTTTGTTCAGCAATGTTCATGTCTCATTAATTCACCTGCAGCCAACCCTTCTCCCCTCTGCAACTGATCAGGGGAGGACGAATGCCAAAATGTGGTGAAAGCAGGCGTACCAGATAGATTTCCGTGTACGGAATAAAATAACTTTGCTTCTCGCAAATTCAGATCCGAGCGCCTGCTTTGCTCAGTTGATTTGCAAAAATCAACAACAATTTTTGCATTTACCAGAACATTCGAATTGGTGAATTTTTTCTGGTGAAAGCAATAATTTGATAGAACATGAAACATGTTCCATGGACGCATTTTCCTACGCACGACGAGACTTGGTTGTCCCAATTCTGTCGCAGTTATGATTAAATCCTTTAAGAAAAAGAGATACAATAAATAAAATTGTTTAGTTGGTCTGGAGGCCAAAGATGAGGGTGAGGGTGAGGGAAGGAAAAAAGTGTCTAGTCAGCGTCTAAGTCTTGTAAGCCGATAACCGCTCCTCCCATCCACCATTGCATAATATCAGTTAGTTTAATCTAGTTTTTTATTTCTTTTATCGTGTCCACCAAGTATGTAGGAGGACGTATGGATATCCCACTGAGCTACTAGTCCAATGCGTGTAATGATCATTCGTAATATTCATCATTCATATTATTATTGCTTCAGAAAACAGACTGAGTTTTGACCAAAAATCTCTACCAAACATTTTCAAATTGTAATTTAAGATAACGTTTCCGATATCTCGACTGTTCCGTTTCGAGGTTGTAAGTGGTACATAAATACATTTTGTCACATTACACTTTATCGCGTGCGTGTGTGTAATCTGGTTCATTTTTAAGTGAAAAAGTTCATTTCACTTCTTGACTGGACAAAGCATGCTTGCTGTTAGGACTAAAGAGCATAATAAAACAGATCCATTTCCCAATTTCCATAATCCTGTCCTGAAACTTTTTTCAGTTCCAAACGGAAATGCAAGATTATTTGATTTCTTTATAGACCGCAACAACTTTCCCTTTCAGAGAACCACTTAAGCCGCAAAACTTCCCACCAAACTATTGTTTTAACTTTTACTCGAGCGTAGAAAAATTTGACCGGATTCTTGATGCAAAACAACAAAAATTGCGGAATGAGTGGATGACATGGGGAAAGTCGAGTTGAGAGAAAGGACCACATTCCTTGTTATGTTTATGCGAAAAATAAACTTTGCACGCATATTTGCCTTGCTTTGTTTTAATACGAGTACTACTTTGCATACTACGAATCGGAAACTGCGTGAGCAATAAAATCAGAGAAAACGATTGAACCATAAAGACAGACGCAGCAGGAAGTTTGTAAAGTCGGTAAAATTAAATGTTTTTGTGGTTGTTTTACCCCCAAAATCGGGCTCGTTCGTGGTTTACTTTCTCTATTTCGTGGGGTTGAAGTCCAACCAAATACTTTAATATTTTACTACTCGTCTTCGTGGCTCATTGTCATTTCGTTTCATTTTGTCAGGTCAAGGTCTGTGCAAATACCGCGTGTATTTATAAATAGGTGGATGGACGAACAGACGGTATATGCAAAATAATCCCTGTAAAATTCAAAGATCTTTATTGCGCAAGGTTTAACAAGCAAATAAAAATAAGCTGGACACTGGAGTGGCTTCACTAGAGTTTTGTAAATTTGTACTGAATAATTTAGGAATTATACTCAATTTGCATATCAACACTGAAAGTCCCACAGGCTCGAATGTTGCCTTTCTTTCATCCTCGCATGTGTTTTATCCTCAATTTCGTCATTATTAAAAAACAACGCGCGTAATAATAACGAGAAGCGTCATCCTTGTCAGCGGTTTATTACTCTCAACTTCATTTCGACTAGACTTTCACCCAGTTTTGAATGTTTTCTTGCCTCGTGTCTCCAATTTATCCCGTGGTTGAAGTGTTGATGGTTGAAACACTTGTCACGCTGTGTCATCGTCGTTCCTCCAGAATTTTTCTCGTCTTCGTCTTATTTCCTCCTTCTTTTCAAATATGAAACCTTCAGCAGAGGAGCATTTATCTCTTCACTTTATTACAATTGCTCTTCCCCCTTCGTGGGTTGGACGGGGCTCAAATTTCATTCAGATTCCTTGCTTCAGACAAGTTGCGTGGGTTTTTGTGCGTTACGTTAAATGCGTAATGTTTTCTGTCAGCCAACTTTTTGCGAGGTGCACAAATAACCAAGACGTCATCCAAACATGCGATGATAAGTATAGCGTACGTCACAAAAGTTCTGGTACTACTACACTTACCCTAAAACTATCACTACTCCTCCTCCGGATGTACATAGGCTTGATCCCGAATCAGGGTACACGATATGAAATGATATCGATGTGATTGTTCTCTCTCTCTGAAGAGAAAACGTAATTCAGCAGCCCAGTCCAATTTCTGCGAGCCAAAAATTGTGCGTGCTTGCAAATTACACACAATTCAAGCCGACCTCTTTCAACAATCTACTAGCTTCCTCTAGCCCCGAACAATGCAGATATTGCTGATAGCATAATAGCCCGAGCTGAGGTATGAATGAGAATTCTTCGACTTTGCCCATGTAAGATTCACTTCTCGACATTCATTGCACGGCTATAAGACGACCGACCATACAGATTCGCCTAGTGAGAAATGGCTGAGGGAAACCAAACTCTTTCGACTTCTTTCACTTTCTCCGCTTTGTCCAGGATGCCGAATTGTTAAACTTTCTCTCCTTTTTACTAGTGCTTCTTTTGGGGTTGTGTTATTATAGTCCACCCACTCGGGCGGAAGAAGAAAGCAAATATTCTCACAAGCTTTTTAGCCGTTTGTTACAGGGCTGAAAGAGTTGGGTGAATTTGGCTGGTGGAGATTTGGCGTGATTACGTCGAGTAGAGTTCGAGTTAAGTTAAGGCTGCAATGTTTCTTCTCCTCCGTGTGGGACAACTTGTGGGTAATAAATGGACCCATTTACATGGTTCGTGGACCAGATAATATCTCCGTTGACGGATTATGACATGGATAAGTTGCTGAATTTAGTTACTTTTTGACATCTCCATTCATTTGAAACTTGAAGAAAATGTATGTGGCTGAAGAAAAATGAGAAACCAGGCCTTCACAGTTTTTTATGTGTATTCTAATTGCGTCATTTACTACTTCCGACTGAAACGTAATGATGACGATGATGAGGTGACACACGATACGTTCATATCATCGTCATTACCGTGAGAGTTGGTGTTTTGTAAACAAATCAGACTTTCAGACTTGGTGGCATGTTTTTTTCCGACTTTTCTTCATCACAGATTAATCTAGTTACATGTAAATTATTTTAGCGTGGATTCTGGGTCAATGGATTTGCAAGATTGTTCCGTATTTACAAGGAGTGAGCGTTTCAGCGTCGATCGACACCCTGATTGCGATCGCTTGCGAGAGGTAATTTTACAGTATGGTTGAAATTTGAATGAAAACGTAAGTAATTAATTATGTTTGATTTTTTTACAGATTTTTAGCAATCTGCTACCCCATGAAATGCCAAATATCGTCTCGGAGTTGTCGCATTCTCATCATAATCATTTGGACGTGGTCCTTCATTGTGTAAGGAGAAAAAAACGTGACATATTTTTCTAGCCTATTTAAATAAGTAGATACCTTTGTTCTGGAACTATTTTGTAATAATATTTCCATATTTTATCCAGAACCCTGCCCTGGGCAATCTTTTTCCAGTTGACTCCTCTCAATCCGAATGCACCCAACAGCGAGCTCATGGTAATGTCATTGTTTGACGGAATTTGAATTTGTAATTTATGGCGTTGCATCAACTCAACTTTGTAAAAATCCAGAATTATTCATAGACGATGATTTAATATTCGTTCTCATAGACAGTCAACTTGAGCATCTCATAAGTATTTACACAAACAAAAATCCAGAAAAAAACTGTCACTGCAAACTCAACTTAATCTCCGAAAGTGCCTCATGTTCAATTCTTCTGGAATGTCATTCAATCCAAGCTTTTCAAACTTTCTCTTACACAACGACTGACGACTGAAATACATGTCGCAGTCGTCAGTATAATAACAACGATGTACTATTTGCATTAAAAAATCTACTAAAATGTTTCCATCTCGTACAGTGACCGCGGAAGCGTGGGGACAGAGGGACAATATCGGTTATTCGATGTCCTCATCATCCGCCCGTCTCATATAAACCCCTCCCCCCAATCTTAATGTCCTACATGTCCCCACAGCTTCCGAGGCCACTGATCTTATAATAAAAAAGCTACCCACACAAATATTTGGGACACAAAAATACTTTAATTATCATACCGTTAAATTAGGTCTGCACTGAAAAATGGTGGGACCCGACAGTGGGAAATGTTTACTTTGTCGTCGCCCATTTGATCCTCTGCTATCTGCTTCCTTTGACGCTGATCACAATATTTTACACCCTCATTCTCCGTCGAGTGTCGATGCGGAAAATTCCACAGGAAACGAAGGACCTGTCCACGGAGCTTCTTGTCCAACGGTAATAGAAAGATGACGATAATTAAAATCTGAGACTGAGAAATCGTGTCCTCATTGTGCTTTGACATTAAATACGCCACCTCATTACTCATTTCATTCAAAGAGTTCAATCTAATTTCCTCCTCGTTATTGTTCTTGTTCTTCTCGGTGATGGCGACGGCATGGAATCCAGATCCAAGATGAAGGTAATAAAAATGCTGCTCCTGGTATGCGTCCTTTTCGCTCTGAGCTGGTTACCACTCTACGCCATCTTCACTCGAGTCAAGTTTGGACCTCCGCCAAGCGACTGGGAGGATCAATTGATTAGAACCATTACTCCCATGGCACAATGGCTGGGAAGCAGTAATTCTTGTAAGAATATGGCTCCAAAAATATGTTTTGTTCGTAAATTACGCGGATATTAGAACGTAAATATTACAGGTATCAACCCAATTTTGTATGGATTATACAACAAAAGGTACCGTTCCGGTTTTAAGGTAATTATAATTTTAAACATCAATTATCTACGCAATTATTTATAACGAGTTTAAAATATTTATATCTACATTTTCACCCTTAAAGGCGGTCCTGACCAGTGGATCGTGTTGCTCTAAATTGAGAGTAGAAGCCACAAAGTCGGACTCATCGACATCTCGTAGCTCCAACCGAATGAATCTCTCTACACAGGTAAAAACAACATAAGTACATAAAAATACATGAAAGTACATGAAAATACATAATTTTTTTTGCTACACATATAGGTTTACTCCTTTATAATGAACACTTCTAGGAAGCGTGGAGTGACCGTGACTGACTCCAATATCTAAATTGTGTCGATTACAGGTCACTCGCAACTCGACGTTTAAAGGGAGTGCACCCTTGTTGCATTCCAACTCTCGGGGATCGAACGCTGCGTCGAAGCGTTACTAAAAATAGTTTATTATATTTCTCATTACCATTTTTGTTAACCATGAACACGTTTTGTTACTTTTATTATGCATCATTCATTATTAATTAAGACTTGCGAAAAGTAGTACTTAATTTAATTTGTGGTGAGTTTTATTTAGCTCTGTAAGTTTTTATAACTTCAGTTAATAGTGTAATTTTACCCTCAGTCAGTGATACTCACTACCATAGATAGATAACTCATTTCGGGTAGTTTTTTAATGGTAAATACTTAAACGCTGATAAATATTTGTGATTATGTATTGATGATAAGTGTCGAGTGATTAATTTTAGTTAGTGTCGTCATGTATGTATCTGTCTGTAGCGTAGAATGTGAAATCCATTCCGAATTTGCCAATTGATTGTCCAAATTTAGAATACTCTTTGTCTGTCCATGTGAACAACAACATTTGGTAACTCGAACAATAATACCTAACCTGTAAAAATTAAAAATCTAAAAATACCTATACTCTTATAAAAGTAAATAACACAAATTCAGTAGAAATTGTAGCGTATATAAATAAATCTCTAGATTTGGCAGTATATTTATTATCTGATGGTATATACGAATCTGGGATGAAAGCATGATTAACTACAGTAATTTAACAGTGCAGTAGTATTTTCGCATATTATAAAAAATGCTCGCGTACTTATATTTAATGGAATTGTGGGCTATGTCGTAATAGATATTACCAAGTAATTATAGTCTTATTTATTGTTCTGATTAATTCGTACGTATTCGCTAATTGTGTACAAATAGTCATAAATTCAGATAGCTTGTAGATCTATGTAGATTGTGATAATCAGTCTCAATTATGCTTGTTGATTGTATATTGTGTGTAAATATTTATTGTTGTAGGTTGGAATTTGGATAGTGTATGTATGAATGCATTTTTGTCCATAAATCTCTCCATGTATGTACCCGATCCAAGTCTAATTATCCTTCCATGCACCACCGTAAATTGATAACAAAATATGTACCTAATTAACCCCTAATCACCTGTGACGTACACCTACATACTTACCTATCTAACCAAAATTAGAATTGTCCAGGATTCATTATTGGATTGTTACAAGGTGTGCGTATGTACTGACGCAGAAAGAAGGATGACGATGATGACGTGCACTGCGAATTATATGTCAGGCTAGAGGGTGCAAAATGTTTTAAATATACATACAAATATCTGTAAATTTTTAATAAAATTGTGTACTAAATGGGCATTTCATTTCTTGCAGCCAATAATTAATTATTTGATATCGATGTACATACATACGTAATTTTGCTTATTTTACTGCCAATCATTAATTTCTTGGTGTTAATTCCTGGAACAAATAAGGGAGACGGCATAAAAATCACATCTTTTGTTCAGCAGTCATGCCCAATAAAAATCTCTTAGCAAAAAAACTTGATAGTTGCTCAAAACCAGCCACATTAACGAACAAAGACAGTTCTTTACCTCGTGGCAGTATTACAGACGTACCTACAAATGTATGTACGTCTGGAATAAGCCCCTCACTCACTCTCAAGCAAGGACTATACACCATCTGAATAATCCAATGCACCTGACACGATAAAAAAAATCAGGTTCTTTAATACCATCAGCATAATAATATGTACGTACATCTAATGCTCCCTAGACTTATTCTTTTACAGAATCTCCACCTTTTTTACATGGACATAAAGACACATATGATGTACCTATGGCGAATAAGAAGGATGCAAGATCTGCTGGTGCAACAGTTATGTACATGCAGGAATAATAAAAAGGTGTTTAGTCGTCCAATTGTGGAACCAGGAGCCTGCTTAAGTTCAAGGATTATCTGAATCCCCTATCAATTTAGTTGAATCATTCCATTGGCCACGCCACGTGTGTGCCATTCGTTTATCTCGGGTTTATCTTGTGTTTTGTGTGTATTGCACATACACCAAACGAACCAACCACCAGGAAATTACTTGCGACGAGATACATAAAATATCGATTGATATCATTCGAAGCTAGGTAAGAGGAGGAGGAGGTGGTGGTAGTGATATTAATTATCAGATGTGCAATACTCTTACTTTCAACACGGATAAATTACTTATTCTCCTACATATATCCGCTTATCTGGCCCTTGTTATTGTTAAACTCTACGTATCATCATCAACCCGATAAATATTGACTCACGCTCATGTCGAGAATTTAATAAGGCCCGTTCAATTAAACAAACTGTTGCGATTAGAGAAATTTCCTTCATTTAATACTCACGAGTTGAGCAAAATAAACTTAGCAAATCCCAAATTCGTGTGGTAATGTAAACCGAAAGTTGGACAAATTCAGGACTAAATTTCACCAGGATACCTGCAGCAGTTCAGTGGTTTCGTTATTATATATGTAGCAGCACCCTTGTTGTTGTTCTTCATGTTGATTTAGATTAATTTCTGTCCAACTCAATAGCTGTGAGTGAGTGCTCGTTGGTTGGGTCTCGGTGTGTATAAAATATTAACCCTTTCCCAGCATCGAACGGGAAGGAATATCACATAATTCTGTTCATTTTCTCTTTCTATCCATTGGATTGGAACCTGTAAATCTGCCGTCTCTGTCTCGTTCTGTTAAACTGTCAGTCATTCGCACTTCATATTAGACTCGTCAATTTAACCCTTTTTCTTACTCTACGTGGTGGCTTGAGGATGGCTTAACCGAGCAGGGAACGAACGCTATGCACACACATTAAGTGCGGATTTTGGTACATTACTTACGCCGAGGTTTAGTTTTGGATGGCTGCATTACATTACTTTTATCTCAACCATCCCGCAATATGAAGGAAACGAACGTGCTGGGTACTACTTAAATTACATTAGATTTCGCAGTCGCATAGCTCATTCACTCACATCCACACACACCATTTATGTGGGTTTGAAGAGTTTAACGTAACCGAATTGAAAATTCAATTCATTCAGTTTCATCTTGTCAGTCGTGTGGTGTGGTGGTTTTCAGAGGGGAAAAAAATTGGCATTAGTTTGGTTAACCGAAACCAATATTAGTTTTATTGCAGAAATTTGTAATTACAGAAATATTTTGCAATGCAAAAATTTTAGTGCATAGCTAAGACGAAGCATTTTATTGAACTTTTGTTCACGTGAGACAATAGAGAATAAAGTTGATGTTCATTGTTCTGTTTAACGTCTACGTGCTACATATTACATATCCTAATAAGTAATAACACGAATCTTGACGTTTACTTAAATTATTCCGTATTATTGCACACACAGAACGCGTAGTTGGATGGATGGAAGCAAGAAGCAGGATGTTTAATAAATAGCGAGCAACCCAATCAACCCATTGACGCATGTTCCAGCTAATTTAACTTGGGTATACCATACCAAAACTGATTGCACTAGTTGCATAAATTATTACGCTGTATGAACTCTGCATACACAGCAAATTGTGGAAGTGATCAAATATCAAATCTGAAAACTTTGTGAATGGACGGACAGTGGGCAATACATTTCGTAGAAATAAAATATTTACTGTGCTGTGAGTGCATTGGAAAATTGAGAGTGAAGAATCTGAAAACTGTAGAATTTATTTCTGAGAATCTGGTAACTGTTCAAAAATGGGAGCAGCATTTTCGGGAGGATCGTTGTGCCGGATGGTGGGAGGTGTGGAAATTGTAAGTTGACATTTCTGTCCTTCAGCATCATAATAACTTGAAGTACAAAATTTAGCTTTTTTTCAAAAAACTCTTCAAAAAAAATTAACAGTTTATTAAAACCTGTTATACATATGTGAAGAGCAAACCACGAGGAGGTACAGTTTTACCCTACCTTATAATTTAGCAGCAATAAGTATGTTCATCATGGGGAAAAATGCATGAACTTGAAAAATATTTTAACATGAAAGTATGGAAATAAGGAAAGACTTCATCACTATCTCAATTTTGTTACTCATTTTGAAATTAACTTTTGTATATTTAATTCGTCCCAATTATAATACTGTGCAAAAATATTTAGAGCTGGATTAAGCATTACACGATTTTTTTTGCAAATGGCAAACAGGAAGCTGTACATATTATTATGTATGCATTGACCTTACATGAGCTGAACGCATTTCGTGCAACTCAATGCATGCAAACGTACTTACAATTTATATAAATGACGATGCTGAAAAAGGCAATAATTTGCAGTCCGTCATGATGCTAAATAACTTAAATTTTGAATTTATAGGTGGTGTCGTCTGTAATCATCGGATTCGGATCTCAAGCACTCATCCTCTTTTATGACATGGACGACGAATTTAAAGAAAAATTTGACAGAATCCAATGTAAGTTTTACATGTGGCACCTAAAATAGCGCAAAACATAAAAATGTTGAATATTAATAGCACCTAGAATCATTAAAAATTATCACTATTTTTATATCACGAATTGCTCCCAGCATAGCAATTCTCCATGACCTGGGTTGCCTCACAAGTCACAAGTTTCACAAATTTCCAGAGCATTTTTTTTTTACTCATTAACAAAAAGTCTTTTCATACACCACATTTTTAAAAGATGGTTCCAACCACCAGTGCAAAAATAAGTATTATGCACGAGACCTTGAATTACATTACTTATCTACATATATGTATTTTCTAATTTTAAAGAAGCTTGATTTTTTTGCTTCTGCAAAAGTATGTAGAAAAATAGCAGATGGCTCATTATAAGTGGTGGTGTGGTTTACAGACAAGTCATTCACTTGCAGACAACTTGTTCAATTATGATGGACAAATGTGGGACGAAGTTGTTCTGAATCAGAACTTCTGATGCAAAACCAAGTTTTCGAATGGTCTTCAATTCAACTAATTTTAAAATCCAATCAAAATAGATATGTTTAACTTCTACATATGCAAAAGTAAAAATGTGGCTGGGTCAATAAAGTAGTAACGATTTTTTTCAACTCATCTAATTACATTCTTTGCTTTGTAATGTGTATTTTCAAAATATTTGATTGAATGTCATGTTTTTTCAGATTCAGCAATCACTGCCATGATTCAAGGAAGTCTAACAATACTCGCATCTTTAATGATCTTATTTGCATCTCGACAAAAGCCAGGTCAACCCTACTTGGACGTGAGTTTATTAATTTTTGCGTTATTTTTTTCCCCGTTTTGCACGTAAACATTACACACTATGAAAATATTCTTAGGATGACGCCTCAGAAAATGGCGACGTGGACCACGAAGCGGCAGATTCTCTGAGAAAACCCAGCATCAAAAGTGCCGCATCTCTTCCCCACAATCAATCCTATTTAGCAACAATTCAAAAAATAAAACGGAAGCTTGCCCTCATTTACAGACTGTGGCTCTCCTACAGCATCATTTCCATCGGACTTTTGCTCGTTGTCTTCCTCTGCTCGATGAATTATTGCGTTCAGACCAAAGTTGATAAGCAACGGTATGACGACAAGACGGACGAGGGGAGAAATCCGTTTAATTTGTTGGACGGGAAGAAAATTATGATCCCTCCGTGTTACGCAGAACTGCCAAAAACCATAGCATTACGGAACGCCTTGACGAATGTGTACAGGTGGGTAATTTTAGTTTTTATTTAGTGTTGGAATTTGTAAGTTTAAAATAATTGTGTGTAAAATTCCAGCTATTGCTTGGTGAACATCTTCGTCCTGGTGGTCTTCATGTTTGTCGTGTACTACCAGTTGAAACGGGTCACAAGGATAACACATCAGCCAATTAAGGAGGATAAGATCAAGGTGCTTCCACCCCCGGATAAGGAAGATATCGAGGAACATGGGGTTGAGAAGGGGCAATAATGGTGCTGATATTAGTATTATAAAACTGATTGGGTGGGACATGTCTACTTATATTTACATAAATCCTGGAAAATTGGAATGTCATCTACAAAATCTATGTAACTTAATACTTAATATTATAGACTTGGAGATGAATTCATACCACTTTTCATCCAATTTGTTATCCATTTTTCTATTTATTTTAGGTGAACGAATTTGTGTTGAATGTGGGGAACAAGTGTTAGTATGCAGATATTTTTGAGATTCAAAATGTATATGGATGGGCTGACAGTGTTTTTTACTAATAAGTAAGTACTAAATACACAAGAGTGGTAGATATTTAGTAAACCGATGGTTTGGCAGATTCCCTTAAATATACACCTGTAGTCTCTAATATAACGATGCAATATAACCAAACCAAATAAAAAAAGTTGCGAAAAATATAAAAAATTGACAAATATGTGACATCTCCGAATAAGTAAGAAAATTGGACATTCTGAAACTTGTCATTCTCAGAATTGAGAATATTAACACTGCATTTATGCAAATTCTCGGATTTTAAAATGCTACGAAATGCATACGTACATGCATAAATACGTCATTCAAACCCAAGAAATTAAGTATTTTATGTTAAGTAAATAATTTTTTTTGCAGTATCATTTGTTTTACTGCTCTCCGCAGCTTTGCTGGTTTTCAATTCGTGCGAGGTTAAGATATTTGTCAAGTATTTACAATGTTTACTTCTTCCCATTTTTTTCGCAGTGACATTATGCCCTCAGAAGAGGTTTTGCAAAAAGAATGCAAATTGCTATTAAGTGATGACTCACTAAACAATGATAATTTTCGGGTTCCTTTGTCTTTCGCGTAGTTTATCTCGCTACAAAATATCGAAACTCTGCATAAAACTGTTTAATGACTCACAGAGTTCGGCTCGAGACACTTGTCTTGTCTACCAGTTCATCTCAATAACAAATTGTTATTAATAATAACAAGTTCGATTGGGTTGTGCAGTCAACAAGAAATATTGTTCATTATACTGAATGCGTTGACCCCAATAGGCATATCATACTTATTCGTGGAAGGGATTTCTTTGACAGTGGAAAAGTACGTCTTTAAATTAAATTGTCGTTAAATATAGAAATTGTCAAGTTCAAGTTTCCAGTAATATTTTTGCTCCCATTTTCAGCAAGTATTTAACATGAAGCTGACCAGACTTGCATTTCTTGGCGTTATTGGGCTGATTTGTGTCATCGTATCGTCTTCCGCGCTTCCAGCGTCCACAAAAATCTATCACCTTCAGAAAAGGGCTTCGATCGCGACTGCAGGGACGCAGTCTGTAGGATCCGGCATCGGTGAAACGAACTGCCCGATCGGTTACACCTACTCGACGTATCAGAAACAATGTGTCCGAAGTAGTGGAAACGTGGGAGGAGTTGGCAAATAAATATTTAAAGTTTGAACAATCTTTACTTGCAGTATGTAAATTTGCATGATGCATTTATTCATTTTTTGGCACCAGATTACACTAATGCTGCATAAATTGGGTCGCCAACTTGAATTATAGAATTTTCATTCTTGAAAATGCCGAAATGGATGCCCATGACGGCCGCGTTTTTAACAATCTTGGTAACCGTGGGGTTCCATACTGGTCGTTTTAAGCTTTAAAGTAAAAACCATGATTGTAGATTATTTATTGTTATGTCACAAGTTATGTACATGTTCCTACCTGGTCAGCGTCTTTATCGGTTCACCGTCCTCGATAATTGTTCCAGTGTCGGGATCAATCGTGGTCATTTTGCATCTACAATTATTACACAATAATGAATACCAGATTCGTATGATTAGTTCGTAAAACGAATAAACGACATGCCTTAAGCATGGCTGTGAAGTTTTGAATATCGGCGACTTTTCAACATCATTTCCAATTCGGACAAAAGTCCATGCATCCTCCGCCCATGGTTCGGGAGTCCCTGTAATTGTTATGCAAGGCCGGAATGACTTCATAGGGAATTGACGAGTCATTTTCGAATTTAGTTCGGTCAAGGATTCTTCAGTCATCATCATGTAAGACGTTTCGTCTTGGAATATTCCCTAAAATATGGATAATTACTGTGTCAACTTTCATATTTATTTGATAATTCTTGCATTATTGCAAAGTTTGTGTACCGTATCTCGTGGAGCAAACATTGGAAAAGCTTTCTGGCCAAGGTTAACTTTTCTTTGACTATTTTCGCTATCGTGGTAAAATAAGCGAAGGCCCTCAACCCCAGTAACCTTGCTTAACCAGTCAGAAATCTGATCCCCGCAATCAAGAGCGTACACTTTATCCGTCCAAATCCTATAAATAAATGAGTAAATAACATTTCAATGAACAATGTTTCATGAAAACGGAAATTTAATTTTTTGAAAAACCTGCCTAATCAATTTCTTATTGTATTGAACATCTTTCGGAAATTTAACCGAAATGTCGTCATCTCCATCTTCCCCGACAAACTTTAGGTGTAAAACGTCCTCAATTACAGTCGGATGAATCAGTGCCATGGATGGAATTACTCTCTGCGTCTGGAAACCGCCGTTGGCATTCGTGATTACAAATGACCTGTCTCTCAGATAAGGGTTCGCTGCATCTAAACAACAACACAATTTAGTAATAAAGTGACTTTAATTATTTAATGTCACTCCAAGTTTATATATAAATTATTGCATACCTTGCAGTCCCAAGATAGTAGTCACCGCTTGGGTGACAGTAATGCCTGGCAGTGACTTGACAGGATAGATCACCAAGTCTGAAATTGTGCCAACTTTCACCCATTTTTCGGGTGGATTTTTTTCGTAAAAATCCGAATTTTTCAACTTATTTGCCAATTTGCTCATTATGATTCCCGTGGCCAACCCGCCACTGAAACATAATGCGGAGACTTTTAGTGCCGATGAGTCCAAAGTACTCATTCTCAAAGGGTCCCTTGGTTTTCCCTGCAAATCGTATATTAATACTTGTATCTTGGAGTTTCCTTCTGTAACAAATTATACAACCTTCAACTTGGAACTAGAAACAACGAGGTGGGTTCAGCGATATCGTACAACACCGAACAATTTGTTCAAGGTCATCTTCATGATCGCAGTTAAATTCTGAATGCTGTTTAGCATAAGCTGTAGTGAAGATTAACATGCATATGTACATTGGTCTGCCAGATATTCGTCATTTATCTCGCAAACTACTTATACAGGCCAGAGACCAAATTTGCATATATAATTATCGTCCAATTTCCTCGTTATCTTACAAGAAATAATCAATATGTATGTCATTTCACTATGGCAAATTATATGCAAGAAAAAGGTTTGTGCTTTTTTGCAGCAAATCTAAAATTCGCATTTAAAAATGATTTCTGATGAGAATGCATCAAATGGGACCATATTCGCTTCGCGTTCTTGTGGATGTGACTAAATGTTAAAAAAGAAGATTAAGCGATCAGTAGAATAATATTCGATCGCAAATTGACGGTGTGGAAAGACTTATTTCGGAGAAGCAGTTGGATATTTTTAGAACTCGAGACGTGCATATGCTAATTTTAAATTTCAATAAAATTTATGTTAGGTTATGTTATGGAACGTTCTATTCGGCCACTATTGAAATGCACACCGTTATTCGTTGAGTTTCCTTGCAATTGTCTCCAGGATGAGATTTTTGAAGATATGCAAGTTGAATTGGAAATGATTTTTTGTAGGGGTTAAAAAACAGTGTAATGCAATATGTACTTCATCCTGTGTGACCAATCAGGTATAGATCGACAAACGTTCAGTCAAAAGGTTTAGTTTATGAAAAAAACTTTACAATAATTGCCCAATTGTTACAATTAATCTCAATCACAAAAATAAAGTGCCACTTTCACCCATTTTTCCCCGATAAATCCCGTCTCAGACAAGACCAATTAATTTAATTGAAGTAAAAGCAAAAGTCTCGCTAAGTTTTCAGGTCCTCAAAGTTTTTCAGAAAGTAATTATTTCAAAGTTGGGAAAGTAATCAGTGAAACGTTTGTTTGTTTTCGTGCCTGTTAAGGATTGGAGAAAAACAAGATCCTAAAACAAATTCACACAGCTTTGGAGAAAGCTGGAAATAAAAGTTGTCTGACAAACACTTTGTCAAAATGGAGAGATGACCAACCAAAATGTGAAGCCTATCCAAGCCTGTGTTATAAATACTTCAAATAATGTAGCACCTTAAGATAATCACTCAAAAAAAACGTACCGGAAGTTCCGACTCGGAACTACGTAGTTATTACAAATTCTTATAATAAATGTCCAATTTCATTATTCGACAGTCGTACATATATGCCGCACATATTACTCAGAAATATTTGATTTAAACTTTTTTTCCAAAAAGACTTGGAAACTATTACACACTGTTCCCGATCTGAGCTAATCCAATGTTTAGCAATTTATGAAAGTGCAAAATGGATAAACAACCTTGCAGCGCATGAATATGAAGAATATACGATTTTAGCCTTCTCAACATACATATTTGGATTAAAATTTGTAAATAAAACAACGTTTATATTTCTTCCATTATTACATATGACATGACACATATGATCAGAACTTAACTTACATGTGTGCCTCAGTTTCAATAAGATTATTATGTGAGTATTTAAGTAATTAATTACGGGATGAGAAGAATCAAGTCTAATCCCATTAAAGAAGACTAACGTCTGGATCCTTCATAAGACGCGATGGATTTCATACACAGCTATTAGAATTTGATCCGACATTCTTGCTGAATAATTCATCTCCAAAAGTGGAGCTCTCAGGTAACTTGATTAATTAAGGATCGTCTCCTTGTTTTCGCTTAATCTTATCCCGAAAACCTTAAGAATTTAGCATATTTAGCTCTTACCAAACTAAATTTCAGTTATCCATTTTACATGTAATATTAGAGATTCGATTAAAGTGAAGAGATTAAATTTACCCATGTTTACCAAAATTTTGATACATAACTTTCTCCACCTTGATCTGACTGACATTTAATCCATTAAAGATTGAAACTACTACTTGCTAACTGCATTTGACTAAGGATAAGATTAAAGTCTAATCGAAATTGATTTTTGTCCATGAGCAAAAGCAAATTGAAATCTTGTGGGCTTTGTTTCCCATCCAATCTACAACGGTAAATTATTTACTACGATCTTCCTCTTCCTCTTCCTAAAAGGTAAGGGTGAGTGGTTTGACTGAGCAAACTTTACAAAATGTGAGTAAATCTCGTCCTGAACAAGAAAACAACTTTCTTTCCATACACAAAACTTGTTCATTATTCATCAAACAAAAACGAATAATCTTTCAAAAACAAAATACTTTTTTTGTTCATTATACGTACGCAAATTTTTTTGTTGCGGAAAATTGTTGTTTGTTTTTCTGATAGATTTTTTTAGAGACAGAATAATACATAATTATTTTCTAGTATGCTTATGATTACTGTTTACAATATATACGAAGAAGGATTTCACTCGATGAAAAATATTGCATCCGACTTTTCTTACTTTATAATCTCTTGCTTTCACTACTCCCGTTTCGCTACTTGCTCATTAATAAAATTACAAAAACACAATACAAGTAGTTCCACATGAAAGATTATAAATCAAACTTTCTTAAACTTACAGTTCGAGAAAATTAATTAAAACTAGGATAAAGATTAAACTAAGTTTGAACTGTGTTGGAAAGGCAAACTTTCGAAATTAATTTGCAGTTAGAAACTTGGATTCGTTCTGAAACAAGCATTGTCATTGTGGTGGTAGCAAGCAATAATAATGTAATCCTTCCCTGTTTAAAATATTGGGGGTGTTCACGACGAGTTCGCAACGTTAGCAAAAAAATTTGGGTTGGAAATTCATGTGCGAACTTGAGCATATCCAAAGTTCGCCATTTTTTATGTTGCGATTTTCAATGCAAAAATGCGAACTGGTAATGAATACCCCCATTCGATTGTGTTGCTAACGTAAATCCGTACATTTACATATACATATGTCCACTGGATTTACAGATACAGGTACAAGATCCAGTAGGAAATGACGAATATGGAGAAAGCCAGAGGGAACATTACTCTACAGCACTCGTCAATACTTTTGGCTAACTCCTGGTAATTTCTATTCCGTTTCAAGCCGTCCACCGAGAGCGAGGTCGTTGAAGACTTTTGTTTGTCATAGTTGTAGAACTTGCATTTGTCTTTGGCCTTTGTTGTGTGGTATTGGTGGTGGTTGGGATTATCCACGTATTTCAATTCCCAGCTATTTCCACCAATTGCATTCTCCCCACCAACCCCAGTCGTTGGAGATGAGGTCTAGATATGCATAAAAGCAAAATTCAATTACATTACAAGATTTGGGTGTAAAACTCACAATGGAGATGTCTCAGCGTATGCTCTCCGATTTTGACGAATGTAGTGTCAATTTGATCATAAAGTTAATTAATGTGAAATGTGCAAAAGATAGAATCTGCCAATGGTCAGGTTTTGCAGATATGTTTGCATCCGGAGAGGAGAAAACGCGCAGTAAATTTAGAAAGTGTAAAATTTGTAAATTTTCGGGCAGGTTTTCTCTTCTTCGGATGCAAATGTCTTTGCCAAACCAGCGAATTAGCAGGTAGTTAATTTTGAAAATATCAAATCTGTGATCGATTGACACTAGTTTTTCTCAGAATGTGATTTTGAAAATTTGAAAATCACATTTTTGAAAATTGTGATGATTTTTCTCAAAATCTGAGAGCACACGCTTGGAGACCTCCATCGTCAGATTCACATAAATAAGCAAAGGCCTACCTTAACGTTTCCTGGAGGTGTTGGTAGTGAAGAGCCGTCACCGCACCCGCTTTCACTAACGGCTGTTGCCTGACCTTTTGGTGAATCATGGCCGTCGCACCGCCCTGAATTAGGATCTCCTCCTATGCTATGAGAAAGCATAACGGCGGCTCTCGAGGAACCGGAAGTGGCACCACCACCAGCCCCTCGTTGTCCATGCATTTGGTACTCTTTCCTCCACAAATAGTTCACCACCGTGAATTCCATCAGAGCCAGGAATACAAAGGCTGGAAGAGGAATTGAATGCAGCAATTGTTGTAATAATTGGTCAATTATTGATTTCAATAATTTATGCGGCAAATAGTTATTCATTCTCAAGAAATGTGGGAACATTTATGAAAATTTAAGTCATTCCAAGATCCACGATCTTCATTATCCAAACTTGTTAGTAAGTTAGTCAACTTCATAAAAAGTGTAGAAACTGCATATTTGTTCGAATGACTGCGATCATAATGAAAATTTCGACAGGCATTTCATGCACAGCAGACCTTGATTCGCTACATATGCCAGATACTCAATATTAATTCAATTCTCTCACACTGCACTTTGGCAGCATGTGCTTGAAATCTCTTAACTTTGAAGATGTAATTACGTAAAGTGGAGAAATTTCCCAGGATCGAATTCTGATTGACTTTACTCTGATAACGAGTGAACAATGTGTGGAATATACTCTATAAAAGTCTTAAAGCGTAGGAATAATGGATAAAATTACCTGTACAAGCTCCCTACATTGGGAGAAGAAATTTCATATTTTACTTTAACTAACTCGTTTAAATATTATTTTGTAAACTGCTAAATTAGATGTGTACATACCATCCACACGTCTATAGCCTGCCGGAAAAGGAATACTTTTTATATGAAAAATTTCAACAATAAAATATTTATATCAAACAGAATTTATTACCTTGACGTAGCTGGAAACATAGAAAGAGAAAGTGATTTTCTTAAGACTTCCTCTTTCTTTTCATAAATTATTGGACAAGTTTATTGGCTTATCCCCAAGTGGCTTACCTGGATTCAATGTTTTCCTGAACGTCTGCACCGCAAGATAGTGAAAAATAAAATGTTCAATTATCATTCCATAAATTCTGGGCCTATCTTCCACTCTTTTCTCACTTTCTCCACACCAAGAAACTAAACCTCACAATGGAGGTGTCCCAGCGTATGCTCCCCGATTTTGACTGAATTAGTGTCAATCGATCACAAATTTAATTAAGACGAAATTTGAAACAGAAACCATCTCCCAATGTTCAGTTTTAGCAGAGATATTTGCATCCGAAAGGGAGAAAGCGCCCCGTAAATTTAGAAAGTGCAAACTTTGTCAACTTTTTCGAATATTCTTTATCCTATTTTCATGCAAATGTCTCCGCCAAACCTGAGCATTGGTAGAACGTGCAAATTTGGCAGAATCAAATGCAAATGCAAATTTTACAAAATCTTGCAAGTCCGTTTGCAAACGTCCCAATCAAATTTGCGATCGATTGACATTAGTTTGCTCAAAATCGGAGAGCATACGCTGGGAGCCCTTCATTATCAGTCTTTTTTGGGGTCAGGGCGACCCTGCCTGCCGCCATAACTTTCTCCTGCAGCAGCTGCACTTCCCGAAAACCATGCGAGCCTCATAAAAACAATTCAACCCATAACAATCCAACGGTCGGACGAGGAGGGAGCGAAAGAATGGGAACTGGCATAAAGTTCTGCTGGACATCAAGTAGTTGAGAAAGTTAAAGTGGAGGCAGGAGAGTGCGAGTGGTGGTGAAAGTTAAACTGATATCGCGTGTGCGCTACGTAATTCAGCGGTGGTGGGATTATTTTATGGGTTTGATAAAGCTCTGAGAAGGAAATCTCTCTGTCTGTAAAAAAAAAATCGGAGAGAAGAGAGAAGGAAACTGGCTAACTTGTGGCTTTGGACGAGACGGTGAGGAGCGTGGTGATGCCCAACGTGACACGACCTGGAACAGAGTTGACATCCATCCAGAAAGATACCCAGGAGATGACCACCATCAGAATGGTGGGAAGATAGCTTTGAACCAAGTGAAATCCCAGAAGCCTGGCCAGGTGGAATTCGGCCACTAAACAGGAATAGTTGCCTACAAAATACAAAAGTTAACACGCACGGGATTAAAGCTTTGATCATTACTTTGATTATTTTCCTCCGCACTACATGTAATATAACTTCACTTAGGTACATGTGCACGTGCATGCGGTTGCGGAAACTTGATGAGAAATGTTTCCTGAAAATTTTTCAGTGAAAAATACTACAGGAACGAATGGACGGATGAACAAATCCGCCCACAGATTTTTGGACTAGATAGCAAACTCAGGCTGGAAAACCGCAACTTTATTTCATCATCGGAGAGAGTTTGACACTAATCGACTCGACATCATGACGCTGAACTCAACAGAGCTTGGTTTGAGGGGTATAACATGAAGTTATTTAATTTCTTTATTTGACACCACCATCGCCATTGCAGCCAGGCAAGTTTGATACAGTGTGGGGCTGAAAGTTTTACTAAATCCTGGGAATACGTGTCAGAATTCAATTTTCTGTGTAAGCATGTCTTCCACCTGATGTTCACTTTCACAAAGCTCATCTTTTTCACATATTTTCGGATTGACTTATGAAGTGACATCCTGTTCTTCGCTTTGAAATGTGGTTAAGAAGAAACTAATTTCCGCTTTGCTCTACTTATTATTATCGATACGTTTGCCCCAAGACAGCATAATTTCACGTCCTGTTGACAGAAATTCGATAAAATTGGGAGCTGCGTGGGACTAAATATCTAATCGTAAGTTAACGTTAAGTAAATTGCTTTTGGACCGCAACAACTTAATTTCTTGTTCAGGTTAAACGTGGTTTGGCTCAAGAAACGGAGTGACAGATGTGTGGTTTGTAACATTATTAAAATGTATATTCCGATTAAAAATGGGCCAGTGTACATAGCTGCGTAGTCCGTTTTCAGGATATTTGGAAAATGAGAAAAAAGTTTTTTCTTGATTTCTCTACTTTTCAAAGGTCGAAAAAATGTTCAAACTATTTTAGAACAAAACCTATTCCTACAGTGAATGTGAGGCTTCATAAAGCCCGAGTAATAGTAATAGTTTACTACGACCATGCCAAATATACGGAATTAATGACCCCACCCGACCAATATGACCCCCTGTGGTCATATTGACCACTGATCTTCAAAACTTATTCCGCATTCGACCCAAACTGACCACACGTGTCACAAATCTCAACCGGATAAGTTTGCAAAGAGTCGGACGGACAGACATGATCACTACGTAAGCTCTAACCCGGCTAAAAACCGTTCTTCCTCACACTTTTGTGTAAAAGAGATGAGTTCTCTTCTTTTGATGCTCATATGCATTGTGTCCTTCCTACTCATTGTTCCGGAGAACGGCTTCCATTCAGTAAATAAATTACTTCTTGACTTTCTCCTTCTATGTGACATCCAGTCTTTTCACTTGTGGTTCATGCGCCGAGTGTATAAATATGATTAGGACAAAGTTGATTACAAGTTGGGAGTTGTCAGTTCATATAAAAAGAACACAAGAACTACTTAATACTTACCAATTTGGAAGGCTTCGTGACATTTGGCAGCGATAATGTCCACCTTGACAAATACACGAAAAATGAGACTTTTACATGTTGTGAAGGGTTAATTTTATAATAATTAAGCTCTTATAAAATTATATAAACTTGGCATTACACACCATTGCAAATTGAGTCATTTGCAGACTCCCCGTGGTTATCGGGTTTTCCAGTTTCCACTCCAAGATTAATTCCTCCACGGTCTTCGAAACTGCAAAAAAGAAAAGAACCACAAGGCCGGCTTAAATTTTGATTACATTTCAATCTCTGGTAGGAATCATCATCATCGATTTGATTAGATTTGCATAACCTCTCGAAAAAAAAATTTATAAAGGGATTGACGACAGCGCACGTCGTGGAAAAGATTCCTTCATTAAATATACAGCAGGGTTATTTTATTCCGTGTACTGTGGATAAAAGGAGCACATCATCTTCCTGCTTGTCAAAGCCACATCAAATTAATGGTGGAAAATTAAGCCCAGGCTACTCAACTTCTTCTATCGAATTCCCATTAGAATCATGGCAGGCCTGCTTTTAACAAATTACACGACAGCATCCTCTTTGTTAACGTCGCTCAATTTCCCCTCCCACAAAGTACAGATTGAGATGGATGTATGTATCACGTCAAATTTAGAGTAAAAAGTCTGCATGCCGTGAAAATGGACCATCCATCTGGGCCGTTTCCTCACATACTTTCACCTAAATTTGTTATACTAAAATACTTGGTCTTTCACTCCAGTTTAGAGTTTCCTGGTTGTCGGAGAGCAGACAACAACAAGAACGAAGCATAACCGTTATCCGATCTGACACTAAGCACTCGAGTCAAGTCATGAAGTCATGAAGGTTGTGTCGGATGGATCCAATTTCACAAATGTACTCATCATTTCCTAACCGACCCACCTAAAACTTGTGGATTGTGGTATGGGGCGAATTATCCGAGTGCAGATGAATACAATCTCACTCACCTTGACGCAACAATGCACAAGGAAAATGAATTAGGACACGTCTCACTTTCACTCCAAGAAAATGCAAGCTGCCCAAACTTTGCGTGGTGTCGTTTTCTCGAATAATAAGCAAGTTCCCGTCAAGGGGCGGAGATCAGTCTTAAACTAGTCTTTCGTAAACGAGGTCATTAAACATTTGCACCCAGTGGGATCTGCCACCTGCATTCATCCAGTGCCAAGAAGACGTTGCTTTTCGCTCTCCTACTTATTCTGCAGATACAGTGTCGGACAGATGTCTACGTCCACATAGTCGCGTCAATTTCATTTTCAAATTGTCACTGAACTACTGAACCAATTTTCATCATTGATATATCAAATTCTCACAAATTTAACGTAATTTCATAGCACATTATTAGTTTTCCGCTAAAAAATTTATTTTAGGCCAGAGATGTATTTTAATTCAAAATGAAAACAATTGGATGGACAAAAGTCAACGTCCAGTCAGAGAAAACATACAAAAAAAACTGTAATTTATAAGGAATGTTATAACAATTAATTTTTAATATTTGGTTGGGCCTCCGTTCGCTTTAAGGACGGCTTCAAGGCGTCGAGTCATTGAGTTTACCAAATTCTTGGTCACATCTTCAGAAATGGTTTCCCAAACTTCACGAATTCTGGATTTAAGGCCCGGAATTCCTGAAAAAGATTGTTTTCTTATTTCTCTTTCAATGTGGTCGCACAGATGCTCAATGGGATTCAAGTCTGGAGATTGGGGAGGCCATTCTAGCTTCGGAATTTTTTTTTCTTGAAGTATTCCATGGTGGACTTGGCAGAGTGTTTCGGATCGTTGTCTTGTTGGAAGGCAAATCGTCGTCCAAGTCCAAGTTTTCGAACAGATTCCTGGATATTACGGTCAAGTATTCCCTGGTACTTGTATTGGTCCATAATTCCGTCAATAAATTCCATTTTTCCTGCCCCACTTGAAGCCATGCATCCCCACACCATTACCGACCCGCCGCCGTGCTTAACTGTGGGGTTGAGATTTTTTGGATTCAAAGCTTCTTTTGGATATCTCCACACTCTACGACGCCCATCTGACCCAAAGACATTGAACTTTGACTCGTCAGTCCATAAAATATGTCCCAGAATGTTTGTAGCTTGGAAATGTGGTCTCTGGCAAACTTCACTCGTTTGGTTGCATTCCTCGGTACAATAAGAGGCTTCCGGACTGCTCTGTGGGATTTCAAATTTCCCTTATTCAGTGTTCTTTGGATGGTCATAGGACTAACCTGTTTGCCGAACATCTCCTTGATCTCGGTAGATAGCTTTGGAGCACTAAGTGAGGGTGTAACGTTGACTTTGTTGAGCACGTGGCGTACTTCTCGGTGAGCCAAAATGGGTTTTCGACCACTTCTGACCTTGTTTTGGACTGAACCATTAGCTTTAAAGTTCTTAATGATTGTCTGGATGGTTGTCCTTGCTAATTTATACTTGGTCCATATTTGTCTCTGCGACAGCCCCCTTTTTGTCCACCCTTCCAGTCCTGAATGACAAGATCTCGAATAGCGATAGGAATTTCCTTGCGTGTCGACGCCATCATATTTTTCTGGAAGAAAATTATTTAAAAATTAATGCGGCATATGTTATTGATAGATTTATTAAGTTACCTGATTTTATAAATTGGAGAGATTTTTGTTGTTGACAATTAAAGTGAAGTGGACGTAGACTTTTGTCCGCTCAAATTTCATCCTCTCTCGCTCTGCACTATGATTCTCAGTTTTCCCAGAATTTTCAGAAATAACTCATATGTTTTATGAAATTACGTCAAATTTGTGAGAATTTGATATATCAATGATGAAAATTGGTTCAGTAGTTCAGTGACAATTTGAAAATGAAATTGACGCGACTATGTGGACGTAGACATCTGTCCGACACTGTAAGATCGTTACCCTAAAAACCAGAAAACCCTGCGTTTTATGTTAAATTTTAAAATGTGTTTAGACACAGAGGTTTGGGCAGCGGGGAAAATGAGAGTGTCTCTGACAGAGGTGTAATATTTTCTTCCTTCCTTTTTACCTTAGTCATACTTACACCACTCATCATAAATAAATGGGAGAAACATCTTTAACATTTTGCTGAGCAAGGAAAAGACGTAGCGGAACAATCCTCTGGGAGTTTATTTAAATTTGTTGTACCCGTAAACCAGAGGAGAGAGAGAGACCATAATTTTCTACCAGGCTGCGTGATGATATAATATTGTGCTGCATCATGAATTTTATAAATGTACAGGGTACGCTATCTCTTTCTTAGGTTTATAACTTAGCGTTTGGTCGGACTTCTTGTTATTTTATTTCACATTTCACATGTCACATGCCATGCCGTGTGTCCCATTGAAAGTGTTTCTTTTATGAGTAACGAAGTGAGCTTGTATCTTTTCAGAGCGACTTATTGACGGCGACACTCGCATCAGGAGGAGTAAAAGCAAGAAAAAAGATGTACGCACATGTGAGACGAACCAGTACAGATATCAATAATCGAATGATTTACGATCAAAGGAGAAATTGACAAGAGCCAGACCGTCTCGAGTCACATTTACAAGTGGTACTTACTCCCTCATTCTTTCCCCATGTTGGGCGGCATTGAGTGGATTTTATTTAGTAAAAAGAGGAAGAAAATAGAAGAGACCGAGACACGAATCCTAATCAGGAGATCTTGTTTCTCTTCATCTTCACACTTTCTCTGCAAGTACAACTTCAGCAACAGCAGTTTCCAAATCTATGTGCACTTGAGATTCTTCAACAACTCTTCCACATCTTACATTGCTGTGGGGGTATGTGTGTCCTACCTAATGGTAAGAAACTGAGAATGGAGGTCTCCCAGCGAATGCTCCCCGATTTTGACCAAGATAGTGTCAATAGATGGAAAATTTAATTAGCATGAAATTTGCCAGAAACCAAATCTGCCAATGATCATTTTTCGCGGAGATATTTTGCATCCAAAGAGGAAAAACACGTCCCAAAGTTGACAAATTTCGCACTTTCTAAATTAACTGCGCACTTTCTCCTCTTCGGATGCAAGTATCTCTGCCAAACCTGAACATTAGGAGATCGTAGCTTTCTCAAATTTCATATTAATCAAAGGACGGTATCTGTTATGGTGATCGTTTTGGGTGGATTTTTCTCCCTTGCAGATTAATTCACCACAGAAATTAAGGGCATTTTTTGGGTGGTGAATAATTACCAATTTCTGAAGGGTTTCCAAGCAAAATATGTTTGTTGTGATGCAAGTATTTCACAGTGTCATGTCGTTATGAAGAAAAATTGATGATGCAATATATTAATACTGGCGTATAAGCCCGTCTCCCGCCGGGCGAGAGCTTATTTGATTTTCATGAAAATGAGTGGGATTGTGCATAATTGCATCGAATCAATTTTTAATTGTATCAATCAATATTAAGCTATATATGGAATGGGAAATGTTTGTTGGCATGAGAAATGAAGATAAATGTTTCGCAACGGAAGCGAAAGTGGCTTCCACTTCACTTTAACTTCACTTTAAAGTGGCCAACCCTGCATACCCGTGCGGACTTGCACTTCACTTTTAAGTAAAGTGAAGTTAGATATTGGGTGAGGTCGCTTTGGTTCGAACATGCACTACATCAGTGGCTGCGGAAGCTGTGGGGACATCTGGGGACATTTACATTGCAGGTTAGGGGAGGGAGGGGTTTGTATAACATGGACAGGTGATAGGGACATCGAATAATCGTAGGGACATTGCCCCTCTGTGCGCTCAGTACAGGGTCCATGAGTTGTGTCAAGTCAGCACTGGTGCTCTAATAAGTTGTGCGCACGCGGGGGCGTGCATGTGCGCCCAGATAACATCGATGCTGTCTCTGCGACCCAAAATAACGTAACCGAAGTCTCCGTCTGCCATATCAGTGTATCTAGTTGCAAGTTCAGTTCGAACATGTTCAAACCAATGAGACTTAATATCTGATGGCAGTTTTCTGGGGGTGGTTGTCTGATGGTAGTTAAGGTGGATTAATTACTGCAGCTATATGTCCACAACAAACAAGGGTTCCTGCCCCATTTTTGCAGAGACAGTACTATCCTACAATTGTTTCCTGTCTGCGTCCTCATGGGGTGAATTTAATCCACACGATGTGATAACGACGTTTGCTAAACCGAGATTACAACTTCATTCTTATCAAATCCGGCACGTCGTTATGGATGAAAAATTCACAACCAAATCCAGGTGTCCCATGTTG